TAGAAATCAAATAGCAAGCTATAAAACTTGTGAAAAGCAAACCAAAAGGCATAACAGGAAACTCAGGATATTGCAACCTAATGCAACAAGCAGCTACAAAGTGAACAAGCAGCTACTATAAAACAATTACTCCTACCAAGATCCCAATCTCAAGAGACAGGAACTCATCTCACACACAGACTTCAAGGGTTCACACAAAATCAAAGGATCTGAAAGGAGATTCCCTACTCACAAGATTATATTAATCTCAGGATTGCTGTAGGACTTCTACTTCCTAATAATAAACTGATTCTGACTTCCAATGCAGCTGACCAATCATTTTGCAGTAAAATCTCCCAGCCGGTAAATTTGAATCCACAAAGGAAAAAACTTTGCCTTTCCACATTACTATCAAGGCATTTCAAAGTAAGACCTGGCATATATTTGGGAGAAAGTCCAATGTAATTTAGTTTCTTAAGTACACATATAACCCCCAAGCCATGGTTTGTTTTGACGATTTTAAAAAACAAGCCACCTTGTGTTGCTTCATCCTTTGCATTAAGTAATCATGTAATTTATTGGTTTTGGGTTAATAAAATGAGTGAACCAAGGTACTGTTTATAAACCATGGCTGGTGGCTTATTGTCCATACAACAGGCAATTGCATATGCCATAAATTATTATTAAGCAAATACAGTACTGTAATGTTTTAGTATATTCTGTGAAATCACTCAGTAGTTATTAATACATTATGCTGAGACAAGGGAGCTTATTTCTCTGACTTCACTGCTACAAGATGGGATATTTTTTTTTATTCAGTAGTGTGCCGGTGCTTGGCAAAGATTTGGAGTGAGGGTTTGGCAAACTCTTACAATGAGCTCATTGTAGGAGCTCTTGTCATTACTATTATTCGATCCATATCAAGTGGATTACTGCAACACTTGCTTCAACCAGCTGCTCTTGAAGGCTATCTAGATACTGCAGATCTTCCAAAATGCAGTGGCACAGACCAGGTACACCTAAGTACACTAATATATGGTATAGGTAGGATCTGTGATCTGCATTAGCTCCCAATATACCAAGTTGTTGGTTGTCATCTATAAAATTCTCAGTAGCATGATGCTGGGTTATTTGTAGAACCACCTCCCCAGTTTTTACCCATGCCACTAAGTCCTGCAAGAAACTCCAGATTCCCCCATTGAAGAATGTTATCTAATGGGATTTAGAAAGCATGCTTTTTCTGCCACAGCACTTGGCCTCTGGACTCACATCCTCCAGGACTTAATTAATCCTGACCCTTCTGTTCTGACCCTTTGTAAAGTATTGAAGACTCGGATGTGTTTTATGGTTTGGGATCTAGAAATGTAGATGACCAGTTTTCATTGTTTTTTCCCAGGTTTATTCTTGGTGACCACTGTGTGATTTGTCTCTGTTAGTATTGTTTTTATGGGTGTTCAAAGCTGTATTTCCAAGACAGGCAGCTATATAAATTGATTTAATAATAAATTGTCAACAATTTATTAAAATTTATTGGATATTATAGCCAACTTGATTTGAACTCCATATTAGAGTACGTGAGGATGTAAATTTGGCAATAGTTTGTCCTATTATTTATGAATCTTTTAGATATTGACAGGATTTATGAGAGATGCATCTGCTATTGGCTCACTAAAACTGCTAAAAGATGGAACTGTCCTGGGAGTTAAGAAAGGTGATCATGATGTGTTCCATTCTATCTGTGTGTGTATATGCATGTGATTTTGAGTCAGCTTTTGACTCCTGACATCAGCATGGAATAGTCTCTGCAATTTTCTTGGCAAAATTCTTCAGCAGAGGTTTAACATTGCTTCTTTCCTAGGGTTGAGAAAGAGTGTCTGCCCCAAGGCCACACAGCTAATTTTGTGTCTAAGGCAGGACCAGAACTCACAGTCTCCCAGTTGCGAGCCTAGCCATTACACCAAACTACCTAAAGGTGGAATGTACACTGCTCAAAAAAATAAAGGGAACACTTAAACAACACAATGTAACTCCAAGTCAATCACACTTCTGTGAAATCAAACTGTCCACTTAGGTAGCAACACTAACTGACAATCAATTTCACATGCTATTGTGCAAATGGAATAGACAACAGGTGGAAAGCATAGGCAGTTAGCAAGACATCCCCAATAAAGGAGTGGTTCTGCATGTGGTGACCACAGACCATTTCTCAGTTCCTATGCTTTCTGTCTGATGGTTTGGTCACTTTTGAATGCTGGCGGTGCTTTCACTCTAGTGGTAGCATGAGACGGAGTCTACAACCCACACAAGTGGCGCAGGTAGTGCAGCTCATCCAGGATGGCACATCAATGTGAACTGTGGCAAGAAGGTTTGCTGTACCTGTCAGCGTAGTGTCCAGAGCATGGAGGCGCTACCAGGAGACAGGCCAGTACATCAGGAGACGTGGAGGAGGCCGTAGGAGGGCAACAACCCAGCATCAGGACCGCTACCTCCACCTTTGGTGCAAGGAGGGACAGGAGGAGCACTGCCAGAGTCCTGCAAAATGACCTCCAGCGGGCCACCAATGTGCATTTGGCTGCTCAAACGGTCAGAAACAGACTCCATGCGGGTGGTATGAGGACCCGATGTCCACAGGTGGGGGTTGTGCTTACAGCCCAACACTGTTCAGGACGTTTGGCATTTGCCAGAGAACACCAAGATTGGCGAATTCGCCACTGGCACCCTGTGCTCTTCACAGATGAAAGCAGGTTCACACTGAGCACGTGAGAGACGTGACAGGTCTGGAGACGCCTTGGAGAACATTCTGCTGCCTGCAACATCCTCCAGTATGACCGGTTTGGCAGTGGGTCAGTAATGGTGTGGGGTGGCATTTTAGGGGGCCACACAGCCCTCCATGTGCTCGCCAGAGGTAGCCTGACTGCCATTAGGTACCGAGATGATTTCCTCAGACCCCTTGTGAGACCATATGCTGATGCGGTTGGCCCTGGGTATCTCCTAATGCACAACAATGATAGACCTCATGTGGCTGGAGTGTGTCAGCAGTTCCTGCAAGATGAAGGCATTGATGCTATGGACTGGCCCGCCCGTTCCCCAAACCTAAATCCAATTGAGCACATCTGGGACATCATGTCTCGCTCCATCCACCAACGCCACATTGCACCACAGACTGTCCAGGAGTTGGGGGATGCTTTAGTCCAGGTGTGGGAGGAGATCCCTCAGGAGACCATCCGCCACCTCATCAGGAGCATGCCCAGGCATTGTAGGGAGGTCATACAGGCACACGGAGGCCACACACACTACTGAGCCTCATTTTGACTTGTTTTAAGGACATTACATCAAAGTTGGATCAGCCTGTAGTGTTTTTTTCCACTTTAATTTTGAGTGTAACTCCAAATTCAGACCTCCATGGGTTGCTAAATTTGATTTCCATTAATAATTTTTGTGTGATTTTGTTGTCAGCACATTCAACTATGTCATGAACGAAGTATTTAATAAGAATATTTCATTCATTCAGATCTAGGATCTTATTTTTGTGTTCTTTATTTTTTTGAGCAGTGTATATTGATACATTCTTTTGAGATTCTGTATAAATGTAGGCCAGTCTCAAATATTCAATTACTTATAGAGAAGTAACTTTGCAGCTCCAAATTCATCTGAATTATATCTTTTTTTTAACCCATTTCAGTCAGAGGCTCTGTCTTGACCTCTTCCTTGGTACTTTTAGCAAATGGCCTTTGCCAGAAACTGATGAGACACGAGTGTGGCCCTGGTAGTTTTCATGCATTTCTTGGCAGCTTTTAATAAATACCATCAATCATAACTTTTGGACCACTCCCTAAATTGATCCTTAGGAAGAATGTTTTATAATGGTTCCAATGTTTCCTGCCAGGCTATACCCAAAAGGTGATGTTAAGGAACTTTTGTTCCATATAAAGGCTGTTGATCTATGTCCCAAATGCTTCCATTTTGCTTTTTACCACCTACAAAAATTGATGGGAGAAAGTCATTCAACACTTGAACTAAGAAATTTTCAATGTACTAATGACATCTCACTCTACTATTCCTTACTATCCAGTGGTAACAATCAGTACCCTAGAGCTTTACCACTACTATGTAAAACAAACTAAATCTCAACTCTATTTCCAGTTTTTTATATATCAGCAGCACTTTCATTTTACCTTTTTGATTTAAGCTTGCTCTCTCTCATCCAGCTCATGTAAAAAAACAACCCTGTTCACTTAGAAGAGCCATATATTAAAAGTAATCTGGGTACTTTGAACTCTGCAGCACAAGCCCCGACATATGGCTTCATAGAATAGAAAGAATAGTATTCTTATTAATAATTAACAAAGAATACTATAGTTGCAGCTTTTGCCAACCCTATATAACATGCTGTTGTTAAACTTTATACTTGCCTAGATATTTATCTACTGAGCAGCACAAAGATAAGGGGCAAAACCACTTTCCATGTAGGCTGGCAAATAAAGGAGACTGCCATTTCTCTTTCTGGTGCATCGTTAAAGCTTCCCAGGCATGTTGCACTACCTGCAGGGTGGCTGTTTTTTACTCTGTTTTGTGGATGCTTCCTACGTGTTTAGCACTTCATGAGGTAGCTGCTTTGCGCTAATGCCATTGGCACCTTCCGGGTATTTGGGCAGGAAGGCCAGGTGCAGCTAGTAGCTGCCTCCCAAAAAATCAGGATGGCACTTTTGGTTGGTAATAGGAGCAAGAAGACAGGAAAGCTCAGCTAGGTCAACAAGGGCTGTGGAGTGCAGAGAACCCAAAAGGCAAAGGGAACGGATAGGTGAGGACCTGCAATGCCACTGCCATAAGTGCAGGTGGATTGCAAAGTGCCAAATTTTGATGATATAGTCATGAAGTTGCTGCAATGTCTGTAACTACGGACGCAGATCGTAAGTCCCTTTCATTCAAATCTGTCAGACAAACAGTTGTAAATTGAGAACTCCCTACATTTGGAAGTATCCCATGCAAGCAAATCTTCATACCAAGAAAGAACTGATATATACATTTCAAACTTTATTAAAATTCACCGTGTGTAAAAAAATGATTACATGTGAATATATACAAACATACACTCTTGTATTCAAAAGTTACCTGGCAGCCTAGACATAAAAATTATCAGATACTTCAACAAACTTTAAGACATCCAAAATGACATTACTAAGTTACATCAGAAATCGTGACGAAGGAATAGACTAATTATGACTTTTAATAGAATCTTTATAGCTTCAAAATGCAATGATATGCCAGTTTAGTAGAAAGATTGCTTAAAGATTCAGACACTTTTACAAAATAGCAGTCCATGATATTATCTTCTGTCAAATTTTATTCATTTACCAGTCTTCATTTCATTTCATGTTAAAGATGTTACGAGTTTAGTTCTCTCTGTATTTCATTCATTTCCTTTATCTGAAGACAAAAAAAGTTATTTCTTAATGAGTTGCCTTTTTAATAATTTCTGCCAGTACAAACAATACTAATCTGTCTCTGATGTGGACAGCTTTTTCTATGCCATAATTGTGCAAACAAATAATACATACCATCTTCAATTTTACATTAAGTATATGCAATTTAACTCATGTTTGCAAGCACAGTATGAATAAAAAACATAGATTTTAAGACTGCTACAGTAACTGTTTCACTACAGAATTATCTCACACTATGTTTGCTTTTCACTACAAAAAAGCTTTCACAAGTTAATCATATTAAACATTCTCCCAATATTAAAAAAACGGAATAGTTATACACATGCCTGTGAACTTATACAGCAATGAAACACTGGATGTTTATTACGTGAATCGAATCATTCTTACTGAAATATTCTTAACTATTAAAGCTAGTTTATATCTTTACAGTAGTCCACAACTTATGACCATTTATTCAGCGACTGTCTGAAATTACAACACTTGAAATGACTGATGTTATGACCATGACTGAGGTTACAGCTGTTGCAGTGCCCCCGTAGTCACATGATTTTGATCTGGGTGCTTGGCAACTTGTCTGCACTTAACAGGTTGCAAAGCACCCTGTAATTGGGTGATTGTCATATGCAATCTTTCCTGCCAGCTCCCCCAGAAGAATTTTGCAGGGAAAGTTGCAAATTATTGCTATATGCCAAGAAGACTCCCTCTTTGAAACTGGCTAAAAAAGATCCATGCCAAAATCTAAGCTGTATTTTCAGTCTTCAAGTAGAGAAGCGAGTCTGTTCACCTGTGGGCTGAAAATCCCTCACCCTGTTAAAATCCAAATGATATTTTCATCCAACAAGTGAAGACAGTCTCTTCTGTCTCTCCACTCAGTGGCTGAAAATCTTGCCTGGATTTCAGCATGAAGTATTTGCATTGCTTGTCTCTCCACTCAGGGCCAAAAATCCAAGCAAGACTCCCCAACTTGCACGCAGCCTGCACTAGGCCCATTAAGGCCTCCCCCACCTTCTTGAGCCACCTTGTGCTCTTTATCTGGCACTCTGTTCACTTAACCGGTAAGATCACTTAACCATGACTGGGAATGCTGGAATGTCAGTCACTGTGTGAACAATTGGGATTCCAGGGGTCTTAAGTCAAAAACTATTTGTAATTAAATATAACATTTGTATCACAGTTTAAAAAATTACCTCAGCTTTTTCATACTTGCCCCTGTTTCTTCGGGTAAATATCTGCATGAAGAAAACAAAACAGCTCAGGTATTTTTCTATTCCAACACATTCAACAATCCAATTTAACAGAATACAAATAGAATAATCCAGAAACTATTGATGCCTATTATCCACATGACCTATTGCATAGTCACCTATAAAACCATTCCATATTACTCGTGAAACGTAGTCTTCAGCTCCCCTATTTGTGCTATTACAGGTTAATATCACTATTACAGGTTAATATCACTTTTTCACTTAAAGTCTGTGCTAATTTTGAAGAGTGGGAACAGATCTGAATCTTTGGAGGTTATTGTACTGCTAGTCAGTGTAGGCTAAGGGATGGATCATCTGGTGATTTCTAGATGTTCTGAACTCCCACTGAGGTAGTTTAAATGTTTCATGGATAAACGTTTAATTCTAGCAGTCAGGAATAATTTTACAAAATATTGAGGACAGCAGATTCCCTGAACCTTTTGTGGAAAGTACTGAACCAGAGAGATCAATGGTAATATAAAATCTGTTAAAATAACTAAAAAAATACGAAACTAAAATATAACAAGACTAAAATAAAATTACACATTGCATAATACCTCATCCACCCCACCCCAATGTTATAAAGAATCGTGGCATATGAAATGAGTGTTTTTTGCTGGCTTTAAATAGCTGTTCAAATTCCCTGGATAGCTCCTATAGTTTTAGCTTCTATGGCAGGAATGTTCTATCACTAACATAAATAGTAATACCATAACAGACAGAATTGTAGTGAAAACTTTTTTAAACTTATCATAAATTTATCTTACATCTTTATTTGTCCAGACTGGCTTATTAGTTTCAAACATTACTACCCCATAAGAATGCCATACAGGTAGTCCTCGACTTACAACCATTCATTTAGTGACTGTTAAAAATTACAATAGCACTGAAAAAAGTGACAATCTTTTTCTCACCTATGACCGTTGCAGCATCCCCGTGGTCATGTGATCAAAATTCGGATGCTTGGCAACTGGTTCATATTTATGACTATTGCAATGTTCCAGGGTTATCTGATCATTTTTTATGACTTCTGACAAGCAAAGTCAATGGACAAGCCAGATTCATTTAACAACCATGTTACTAACTTAACTGCAATGATTCACTTTACTGTGGCAAAGATCATAAAATGGGGGAAACTTCACTTAACAACTGTTTTGCTTAGCAACAAAAATTTTGGGTAATTGTGGTCCTTGAGCACTACCTGTATTTATTTTAGATATAATAAATGATGTCTAATAGCCAACATACCTATCAAGTTTCTTCCACCAATATCTATAGAGGTGAAAAAGTCAATGACATACCTGGGGTTTTGATATTCAGTTTTACAAAGTCCTAAGTAGCTGTTGATAATCTTCAGTTTTAACAATACAGGATTTATGGTTTATCATGGACTGACTGAATGGCCCAGGGGAGAAATGGAAGGTTCAAGAGTTGTCTAAAACAGTAGTATTTATGTTTATCTACCCTAGGATACTTTTTATTTGAGCATCAGAATTAAGATCTTCTAAATAAGAAAAACATACCAGTACAAGAATACCAGCCACTATTGCCAGGACCACAACCACAATTACAGCAATAACTCCAGGAGTCAAACGTTTCATTGTAAACTCGGGTGCTTTGTCATCAACATAATATATTACTGTGTTCTCCAATTTAAGAGGTTTTTCTGCAACAGTAGTAATGATTGGGTCCTCTTTGACCTGAAAGACCAGGAACATTAATTATTCATTTTTTAAAAAAATACAACTACTGAAATAGAGCATAAATTCATGCCAATAATTCCACTTTACTTTCCTTTAAAAGCTCCACATACTTACATCTTTCTCAAAATAATATGCTACATCAGCTATATCCACATCAGTATTTCCTTTTTCTGAAGCATTTTGTTTGAGATGGACAATAATTAAAGGTTTCTCATACTGAAAGAAAAAAAAAACTTCCTTCACATAAAATCATGTTATCAAGTTTAAACATAATTTTTCTGTTTTATTTTCAGTAGTTAATCAGGCCTTTTAAACCCCTATTTCATAAATAGTTCAAAATTTCAATTAAATTAACAAAATATTTTAGATGAGGTCTTGATATAGTACAATTACATATTCAGAATGGACATTGCCCCTTTAATCAGGATAGATTCTAAACCTTCAAAGGTAAAATTTATATGCCCCCATGAAAGAACCCAAAGTAATATTTCCAGGAAAATATCTAATAACTCTTATACGTACCATAACACTTATGTGCTTTTCATCCAAAAGGTAACGGTCCTTAAAGTTTTTTCCAATAGTACTGGGAATTAAGGAAAGAAATTAAGAAACTCTGAAAGATCTTTATGACACAATTTACTACTGAAACCCATATCAATCCCTCCATCACTTTCCCCCTATGAAAACTAGCTGGATAGTAGTTTTGAGCAACTTGGTTATTTTATACTTCAATACATAAGCTAAGCAGAGGTGGTATTCAGCAGATTCTGACTAGTTCTGAAGAACCGGTAGCAGAAATTTTGAGTAGTTCGGAGAACTGGTGGTAATGTTGTGGTTCACCGGCAGCCAGTGTGGATGGCAGAGGTATTGGACAGTGAGGACGAAATGGAACCAGTCAGGGAGTCTGGCGAGGACTTGGATGAGGGTCCTGCATGGGATGGGCCAGGACCATCTGAGAGTGGGGTGCTGCCTTTGGAGCCTTCAGAGCAGCAGCGAAGCAGAAGACCCCAGGGAGCCTGTTCCCAGTGCACGTGCACGCAGAGCTGCAAGAAGGCGAGAGCAGCTGAAGTAGCAGGGGCGACTCGGGACTAAGGCTGGGAGGTGATTGCCACTCCCATCAGGAATAAAAGTCAGCCCTCGGTGATGTGCTCTTTGCAGGAAGCAAAGAAGTTCATTAGATTCTGATTCCTCAGTGAAGCCCTGCGAACTCTGGTTTGTTTTTGTTGGAACTCCTGTCAGTTTATATTCTAAGTAATTGGACTTCTGTTTCTTGGCAGCATTCTGCAGCACTGAAAAGCATGCTCTTATCTGGAGGAACTGTGTCTAATGAGTTTTGGCTGAGAATGCAAGTAATTCCCAGCGTTGCATTAAAAAAGGTTTTACTTTTAAATTCAGTTGATGTTTTATTAAGTTTGACAAAGCCTGGGTCAGAACAGGTAACCTTCCCCCAAGAGTGGGGAAGGAATGGAGATTTTATAGTATCCTTTCCCTGGAGTGGAGTGGGAATGGAGATTTTGCAATATCCTTCCCTTGCCATGCCCACCAATCCACACCCACAGAACCGGTAGTAAAAAATGTTGAATCCCACCACTGGAGCTATAGTTTAATAAATCAGAATGTTAACAAAATTAGCATAAGAAGTCCATTTGCTCATGTTTTGTCTATTTCTTTGCAAGATTAGATAAGTGAGCCAGGAAAAAGATAGCCTCCAGGGCTGACACATATAGTATCTGAACCCAGTTTATTCTATGCTTTATTAGACACAAAAGGTTTGAATAATGACAGATGCCAACTAATTTTATATTTTTTATGATCTCTTGTTTTGGTGTAAGACATCATAATCTTGTAATTAGGAATCATGCACAGCACATTGTGTCAAACATTTTATTTTTAACTACATTGTGAAAATCATCTATTAAATTGCTACACTTAAGTAGACAGTGATAATTACCAAGACATACCTTTCAATAGCAGCTTTGTCTAAGTCTGTATTACTGTCAGGATATTTTGCTTCAATAATAATCCAGCTAAAAATAAAATATAAAACATTAATCACAAGGTTAAGAAATAGGGCACTCAACTTGTGCATTTCTAATTTTTGGTCTTAATTTGTTAATGATCAACTTGTCAGTATAAACTATTAAAATGTTACTAATTGATGTTTTAACCTTAAAGCAGAATGGTACAACATATAGATCTCAAATAAATTCAATTTTAAATCAGGAGGTTTACCTTGTCCTTACTACTTCTTGGCATGTAATGTTTTGATCACTCTTGTCAGTTCTTCGCACTCCAGCACTGTTTACACACCAACAGGTCTTTGTTCCATTGCATTGTTTAGGTTTGAAGAAGCCATTTGCATCACATTCTGGATCATATATGCCATCATTGTCTACATATGCATGTTCTGGTCTTTCTGTTCTACCTGATTTTAAGCCAGCCACTTCTGCTTTCATCAATAGGCATTTTGAAGTCACTAAAAGATAATAAAAACAGTCAAGAGTAACTGGATCATGTTAACCTAAATATTTTTGTCAGAAAGCAGCGGAAATAGTGAAATTTGTTCAGTTCTTATACTTACATGTCTGACAGTTCACTGTGATATCAAATCCAATTGATTTACACTGGCATACACCATTAAGAATAGAACAATTTGTTGTCCGTTTGTTCTTCTCACATTTACATCCTTCTGTAATATTCAAACCAAATAATTACAAAATAGCCCTTTGAATTCTGCACCAAATAGATAACTATCTCTATTTTTTGTAGTAGATACCTACAAAATCATCCTACTTCAGGGAAAAATGCCAAAAGAAAATTCAAATTAATTACACTTTGGAATTCTGACTCTGTAATAGCTAATACCATATACCATATCTGAAATTTTCTCCATATTGCAAGAATCATAACGATTCTTGAGTTGGCTTTAAAGCAGAGCATATATCCGCTATTCTAGATAACATTTTTATGTATCATGTTCATCATTATAGATATCTTTAACTAATAAACTCAGAGGAAAAATCTCAAAAATATTAATTTTGATGTTGTTTCGGTTAAAAATATAATTCCAATTCAAATCAAAGGTCTCAGGGATTGCCAAAGCCGCTACTTTTAACATTTATTCTGTAGACCTCTTCTGAAGAGTAACTGTTATCTCTACACACTTTAGACTCGTAGTTCAGAGCCCATAATATCTGGTTCTGCAAAAACTAGTAGTACAGTATATAGGTAAACCTCTTTCTCAAATGTAGTATACCTTTCTCCCATTAAAGTAGTATTTAAAAAAAATCAGCTGAAAACTCCCAACTCCCAAAAAAATCAGCTGAAAACTCTCCACCCACTTCAGTGAAAAAAAAATTACCTGGGAAGGAACAGCAAAGTGTATTTTAGTGTTTAACAGGCATTAGCAGTTTTACTTCCTTTTAAAACCAGAGTTTAATTTTCTAATAATCAGCTCTAGAAAAGTATATTCTTTTTGGACATATACAAAACCAAAACTATCCTGTTACAATTTGGTAAGAACATGTGTATGCTTGAATGAAAATGAAAGAAAAAAAATCCCAAGATGGGGGGGGGGGGAGAGGAAGCAATGGTGGTTTCTACAGGTTAGCTTCCAATCATAAAAAAAAAGACTCCATGTTGTACTTGACTGTAACTATGTAGTCACAACCATGCTTTCTCAACTATCCAAAAATGCTTTCTTCTGGGAGATTTTGTGACTTCACAATTGATCCTATAACCCTAATATTCTCTGGTTATCCAAGCATTAACCAGACAATCCCAAGTTCTGACAAGGTTAAGCAGGAACCATCTACTTTTCAGTCATTTATATACTTAAAGATAGCAGTAGCACTTAAACTTATATACCACTTTGCAGTGCTTTACAGGCCAGCCCTTTCTAAGCGGTTTATAGAATCAGCATATTGCCCCAACAATCTGGGTTCTCATTTTACGACCCTGGAAGGATGGAAGTCAACCTTGAGCCTGGTGAGATTCGAACTGCCAAACTGCAGGTAGCCAGCAGTCAGCAGAAGTAGCCTGCAGCGCTGCACTCTAACCACTGCACCACCACAGCCCATAGATGTTTTTTCACTCTCATTTAAGCATGACACAAGCATGCCCTTCTGAAAACATCCTTATTCTGCCTTGGACTCTGCCTTTATATTCTCCCCAAACCATGAATGAAACAGCGTTGTCTGCTGCACCAGTATTAAAACAATATTTCACCCCTTATTCTGAAACCAAGTTGAATAAAAGCTTCTAGGCTTGTCATCTATTACCTTGGAGAAAAGTCAGATGACTCCAGCAGCTTAAAACAGACACAAACCATGAAAAATGGGGACAGCAAACTACACCAGTATAGCCTTGAACCAACTTAAGATGAATGGCTAGAATTTCAACACAAAAGTAGGGAAACACCTTAAGAAAACTTTAAAAGAGCTCAGATAATGCAAAGCTACTATATTCGAGGCTTTGCAAACCAGTAAACGACACAGAACCTTCCATTTTAGCTGAGAGTTAAGATGGAGTTGCCACTGATCTACATCTAATACCATTATTGGTACATGGGCACTTTGTCTATTTACACTGATTTTTAAAAAATCTACCTGGATTTAGTTTAATAAAAATTAAGCATGTTAAGAGTTCTGCCAGTCTTTTTTTTTTTTTGCGAGTAAATCCATGAAGGAAGTTTATGGCTAAGTTTATTAAGTTAATTTCTTAAGATGATTCTAAAACGAATCTAATGTTTAAATTATTTAAGATAGAAAGTTTCCATCCCTCGGAGAAAAGTGATACGGAAAGTTTCGTGCCGAAGGAAAGTTTGGGGACTCCAAATGAGCCCCCCCCCCCCCCCCAGGGACGACTGGAATTGCCCGAGCGCCATGGCGCTACAGGGCGTTGGCTCCACGCGTCTGCCTCCAACTCTCCGGGAGTCTCCAGGGACAACCTGTTTCGAACTGGCTCCAACCCGCTCCAGAAGTCGCGGTCAAGAAAGTCCGGCCACCGCTATTCCTGTCCACCGACATGAAAGCAACCTGCCCCTTCCTCCACGTGAAGGACGGGAATCTCGACGAGGTGCCATTTTGTGCGGGGTTCCACTTCCCTAAGGCGTTGCCCTCGCACGCAAGAAAATTAGGAGCTGAAAGAGAAAAGTCAGGAAAACCCGCCGAAGGAAGACAAACCTTGGCTCCACACGGTAGCGGCGAGCGCCAAAAGCGCTCCCAGGAGGAAAGCAGCCTTAGAAGGAAATCCCATCGTCCGCGATGTCAGAAACCAGGTAGACGGCAACACTAATAGGTGCTGGCGACACTCCGGTCTCTGTGTCTTCGCTTCACCCTTTCCTCCCCTTTTCTCTCAAGCTGCTCAGCAAGTTCCGCAGGAAAACTGAGCTCCTTTCAGCCGGCCGCGCCCGCCTCCTCAGGTTACACCTGGTTTCCCACACACACACACTTCGCCTCAGCACCTGCGCTGTACCCACACTACTTCCGCTTCTCCGAAGGTGAACCTGCGAATCTCGTTGGCTCCGAGCTCTTATAGCTCACAACGCCACTTGCACGAAACTGGGAGCGGCCGACGGGCGGGGTTGGTGCAACAGAGCGACGAGGACTCACCTGCGTGCCCGACTAGCCATATATAGACTTTTCCGGGTGAAATACATTGCGGGAAGGAGGTGATACAATGTTGGAGTGTTTCTAGGGCAGTATGTGAGGTAACAATAGGCGAGGCGGTTTGAATATTCTAAAACGCCTTATCAACCGTCGGGGAGATTTGTTCCATTGTAGTTTCCTTGGTGTCTTTTTTTAGTTTTTTTTTTTTTTACCAATCTTGAGAGGACCAATTTGTTTAGAATCCACATTTACAGTGGAGATCATAGAAAACAAATTGGAAAAAAATGGTTTAAAACAGGTGAATCCATTTAGTGAAGAATTGTGTCGTTTTAGATGTGACAAAGGCTCGGTTGTATACACTTTAGATTTTCACAATGCTGAGTTTAACATTTTGCTCAAATAGTTCATCATACAAATTAATAATAAAAGAAACACAAAACCATCAGTGACCTATCAAGGATTTGTGATGAGCATCCTTGACAAACGAGCTCCCCCCCCCCCCCAAGGCTGGCTCTTGGTATTAAAGCATTATTTTTTATCTAAAGTGTTAAATATATCTAGAATTCAAAAATATAAAAATGATGCAAAGTCAAATTAATAATAGGGTAAAGATACTTGAAAACTGCAGGTATTAAGTGCCTTTAAATGTAAGGGTGATTTTTTTTCTTAAATTTTTTTTCTTAAAATTTATATCCACAAAGATGTTTTTCTTCCTTTCTATACTTTCACCTGAATAAATTAGGGCTCTTGTTTGTATTTACATGTTGGTTTTTATTATCTTGTACTAGATTTATGAGGACAAACTGAGAAATGTACTCACCTTTGAAAATGCTTGAGCTCCATATTTAAGGATGTGACAGAATGATTTGAGACATTTGTATTCAGAGGTAGATATAAATATTTATTGCTTAACATGTAGTTCTTTGTTAAGATGACACATTTCTTAATAAACATATAATTCAAACATTCAGAGAAATCAGGACTATCTTTATTTGCCTGTTCTGCATTGTACAGCTTTGTGATCTGGAAAGTCAGAATAAATATCTATTAGAATTTTCACAACTTCCAGATTCCCATAGCATCACAATAATTTAGCATTCCAATAATTTATTTATTTACTGTGTTTCTATTTCACTTTCCTAACAAAAAAAAATTCTTAGATAACTTGCATCCGAAAAAAATGAAAATATAGCACAGGTAATCGACTTAACAACAGTTCATTTAGTGTCTCTTCAAAGTTACAACGGCATTGAAAAAAATTGTTTATGATTGTTTTTCATACTTGACTATTGTAGCATTCCCATGGTCACAATGATCAAGATGATTTATGACAGTTGCAGTGTCCTGGGATCAAGAGATCATCTTTTGTAACCTACTGACAAGCAGAGTCAGTGGGGAAGACAGATTCACTTAACAACCATGTTACTAACTGAACAACTGCAGTGATTCACTTAACTGGCAAGCAAGGTTGTAAAATGGGACAAACTCACTTAACAAATATCTCACTTAGCAACAGAAAATTTGGGTTCAATTGTGGGCATAAGTTGAGGCCTACCTCTAGTCATCATCCAATTTACAAACTAAAAAGACCATTTTTTAAAAGTTGACTGAGAGTAAAATGTACATCAAACAAGGAAGTGAGGTTGCAAGAGTTAAACGTATGTATGTATGTATGTATGTATGTATGTATGTATGTATGTATGTAAATATAATTAGTACTAGGTTGATCTCTGTTCTCTCTTTAGCTTGAATCATGCAAATTTTCAGTGACTTATGGTATTCTACTAGATGAGGGCAAATTCTTAAAATCCCATCCTTTCATTTGTACAACCATTATTTTTCCTTCTTAAATTCAGTTTTAATAACCTCAATGATAAAAATAAAATGCTTATATGTGAAAGTTTTACAAATAAATGGCCTTAGTACCACCAAAACGTGCTGGAATGAGGAATACTAAACTAATCATTCTCCATGGAATAATTTTTCCAATTATATGCATCTAATACTTCCCATAGCTGTGGAATCACTAATGGTTATGCCAATTGCTTCTCCACTCACAAGTACATAATATGTGGTAGCAGAAAGTTTACCCTATTTCAACATACATTCTCGTTTTACAAAACGTGTGGAAGAATTGGAATGAGAAACAAATAAAAATTGGCAAGTAATTTCTGCTTGTTGTCTTTCTTCCTTTTTCTTTCTTTCTTCTCCATTACTTTCTATTTTTATCTTATTCATATTGTTTCCTAGATACAGAAAAATTATAAATGTTTAAATTTGAATGCTTTTTAAAAAGTTTTGACAATATGCCAAAAATTTTGATTGCTGGCAAGAAAAACCTTTCAAAATTAGCTATACTTTAAGAATGCATTTTTAAAAATACTTTTATACAACTTTTAAATTATATAATTATGACAACATAAGTATGTTTATGTGGTAGTGAAACTGCATTAAGTAAATTTATTTATAGATTTAAAGATACAAGTTTCTCATTTACAATAAAATACGTTGCAGGATCTGATCTTGAGTCGGTCACTGGGACCAAAGTTTATTCTTCCAAACTTTCAGGCTTGTGCTGTGGAGCCCATCATCAGAGAACCTCTCTCTCCAGAATATATTCTCTCTTCAGCATGAGCCTAAAAGTTTAAAACAATAAACCTTTGGTGACCAATTCAGATCGGATCAGAGATGGTATTCAGCAGGTTCTGACCAATTCTGGAGAACCGGTAGCAGAAATTTTGAGTAGTTTGGAGAACCAGCAAATACCATCTCTGACTGGAGATTTTACAGTATTCTTCCCCTGCCACGCCCACCAAGCCACACCCACAGAACCAGTAGTAAAAAAATTTGAATCCCACCACTGGATCGTATCCTGCAACATTATGCCTGGGACACATGTTTGCCTTCATTCGTAATAAGACATGTTTCATACAATACAACTAAGACAGTCCAAGCAGAGCTGACAGAGATCCCAGGTGTGCCTTAGGACATTTGAACAGGAACAAGAGAGGAGGAGGAGGAACAGGCAAAGATCAGCAGGATGATAATGCGTAACAGAAAAGAAAGCAAAGGGCAAGGGGTGGATACTAGACAGGTAATTCAACATCATTGAAATCCTTTCTCTGCTAGATGGAGGAAACTAATGTATTTTTCGTTTGGTGTTAATAGAAACAGCCAGTTTTCATAACATATTTTGTCAAACAGCTTGCAAATCTCTCGCTTACTCATCACACACTGTCTATTTTTTAATGATCAAATAGAATTTCAGAAGATTAGTATCATTGTCCAAATGATATAGAAATTGTTTCACACAGTCTGAAGTAAAAATAATTGTATGAAATTTTAAAACACACTTGAACTTTTTAAGTTACAAATCAGATGTCTATTCTAATTTTGGAGAATTCTACTTATTCAATCATGTGACTTGTATAGCTGCCCAATGCATAAAATGAATGGATTTTAAAATGATAAAAAATACTTCCCAAAACCAAACAGAATTGATTGGCATCTAGGAATACCTATTAATATATTACAACAACACCCTTTAGAGATGGACTCAACACTCTGGCTTCATACCTATAGGAACAGCCAGGTCTTCAGTACTTTACAAAAGGATAGGCCTATTCAGGGGAGATGCTGCAACAAAGAATGCACATTTCCTGGGTCACATCACATAGCAATGCTTGATGGACAAGACCCGCCAACTCTGTCTGATTGGATGGGACAAGCAAAATTAATGGGAGTTGGGTGGCACCACAAGGAACTCAGCTATTAACCATACATACTTTCTCAATTTTAAATGACATCACGCTGGTCTATGCTTACCTGAATGCTGTGCTGTCCTGTAATAAGAATTACAAATTATTTAAATGGTATCTTAGTCAAATCCACCCTTGTGTTAAAGGTGAGAACCAGCTGGCTATATTGCATGCTGGGGCTTGGAGACATTAAAATTTCAAGTTGGCAGGTATCAAGAAGTTCTCTTCTTAGGGTCAAAGGTTCACCATATAGCCTATTCCCTCCCCCATATTAGCTTTAGGCAAAACTATGTCAGTGCTGTCTGTCATCTCAATTGGTGTCTTTATCTAATGCTCAAGTGTGACACATAGTCATTTCCTTCCCTATTCGTCCTCAGTAATATTAGTAACACAGAACAGAAGAATCCTTTTTACCTGATATGTTTTCACCTGATGTCTATTCATCAAGTATCCAGGAAAATTTTCATGTTTAAATCTTTCTAAGATTCTACTTAGGGAAACTTTAATTTAAAAAGACCTGCTTCTTTATCAAAGCGTTTAGGGCGCAGTCCTATAATGAGGATCTAGCTGGTAAGGGAAATATAGTATTTAACAAAATTCTGACTACATTAATGGAACTAGAAAGGTGTGGTACAATACAATAGCTAAACTGTTATTGCAAAAAGGTGCCAGTGCAATAGCCAGAAAGAAAAGTGCCATGTAACTCATTTAGTCCATAACCAAGCTTACTGTAAAGAGAAAGCAACATATGATAGAACTGGCTTAAATGAAGAGACAAAAATAGGGGGAAAATCAATCTGGTATCAAACTTTTCAAGACATGTTTCAAAAACATAATCCAAGATACGGTATAAATCTATATCCAAATTTGTGGCATGGGATTATATCACTCTGGTGTTGCATTACATATATCTAAAGCTTAACTAAGGGGACGCAGTGACTCTGGCTAAGATGCTGAGCTTGTCGATCAGAAAGGTTGGCAGTTTGGTGGTTCAAATCCCTAGCGCCGCATAATGGAGTGAGCTCCCGTTACCTGTCCCAGCTTCTGCCAACCTAGCAGTTCGAAAGCATGTAAAAATGCAAGTAGAAAAATAGGGACCACCTTTGGTGGGAAGGTAATAGC